TGAGCTACAAATCTTCTCCACCATCCAGAAAGTAATCTCAGCCTCCGCCGTATGAATCGTATATTTCAGAAATACGTAATTTGTTTACAATTAAACCAGTCGTCAACACACTATAAAATGAAAAATAATCATTATATAAGAGTGAGTATGGGATACTCTAACTGATAAATTGGGAATATGTTAAGAATGGTAAATCGTACTTCAGTAACCGACATGTCAAATGAAAGCTTATGATAAAAGGAATATGAATATACATATAATCTAGTTACTTGATAGTTATTTAATAGGAATGTATATAATATAATACATAATAATTATATATATTCTGAAAATAATAATTAGAGGATTCACGCCAGTTTACAGGCACGATCAATTTGATATAAATATTAACATTAGATATAGAGAACAAACATGTGATACAAGATTGTTTTAAGATTGATAGTACAGTAACCGTTTAGGTAGTACATATATTACAGCAATCCAATGCATCAGCAGGGAACTTTTAATTTTTTTAAGTGGGGACGATGTTAACGTAAAGTGACAGCATGTAAGTGGTTTTACTTGGGGAATTCACTAATAAGAATGGCTAAACACTTAAAGTCCCTATAATCTCACTTGTGGAGTAAGATACACGTACAGGTGCTAGAACATTTAATGCATTTTCAGAGAAGCAGTATGCATCAACGCAGCGAACAAAGAATGGGAGCGATTTTATCGTACGGATAGATTGGGGTAGATTATTCCAGAGTCTAAAAAATTTACAGGTAAAGTAATTCATATAGAGAGTTGATTTAGAATGTGTTTGTTACGCTAGTGACAAGCAGTTACGTATATCGTAATGAGAAGTTTCTGCATATTGAATTGCTTGGTTGGATAACCTTTAATGACCTTTAATTATTGTAACCAAAGCATTTTATTCATCTTATTATATTCACTAAATCTATTATTATTCTTATTACGTAATCCAGTATTATAATCTTGGTTATTAGTGTTCACATTTCCTCACGGAATTAGTACTTTAATAAAACATTTTCATATATATACGACTGTACAGCTTGATAATAAATTCGTTGAAAAGAGATCCCTTCGCTGAACTTCGTGTTTTTAATTTTAATGTAAAAGATAGTTTATGTAATAATAGTCCATGAATAGTTCTTGGGAGTTGCCATTCATTTATTCTTTGTTAGGATATAAAAATAACTTCCTTACAATATCTGATTTTCAATTCTTCACAACTTACCACTACAAGCTTCTTTTAAGTGTTTAACATCATTTTGTCTTACTTTAGAACACTGTTTTAGCAAAGAAAATTAACTATAAATACGTTTGTACAGCTTGAGTAAATGAAATCCACGAGTTGAATATAGTTAAGAGGGTCCTATCAATCATGTATTAATATAATGTAATTTCTTCAACTACTAATCTTGATCACCTATAGAGTGCAGAATAACAATAGAGGCGGTATAATGATCAAAGTATTTTACTTTCAACTAATTTGATGTGCTTTTGAGCTGTACTTCAATTCATTCAATTTGGACTGTCAGATAGTATTGTTACCCTATCATAAATTGATCAATCCAGTTCACAGTTGAGTACATAAAATGACAGTACTTGTTAAATGAGCTCCACTAATTAATCATATTTCAAACAAAATAAAGGACAGTATTTTTATTACACAAATCAATAAACAAAAGATTGATGAAGCGGCACTAGAATTTAGCCGAAACTACTTAGTTATGTATTACCAACAAATTTATTGACCACAGGTTTCGATAGTTTCTATTCAAATTTTTATGACTGAATTCATTACAACTGAAGGAAACGGTTAAATCAAATTATTTAGGATTAACTGATCATCATTGTACGTATGACCGTAATTTCATCTTTATACAAGGCTTTACTAAATACATTGCACGACAAAACTTATAGTACCACTGTTGTGTAATAACAGATTTCTTCTCATCTAGATAGAATTTTAAAAAATACAAGACTTAAGCTTTTTTGGCAATGTTGACATAATGTTCCGATAATAATATTTAGATCCGAAGTGACTGTTTGTTTAGAAATGATTCAAATAATTTAATAATCAGTGATATTAATATTGGTTCTGATTAGTCTATTTTAACTACTTGATAAGTCTTGCTGATTGAACGCTATACTCAGATCCTAAGATAGTCTCGTAACCCCCAAGCTAGAACTACCCAGCGACTTGAACACGAGAGAAAAGGCTCAAAATATGCGAAAAGCACTTTACTCCAAAGGTTCGTTTATGTACAGAAAATATAGGGTTTTTATAGTATTTTAGAAGTCCTTGGGTTTTCCTGAACATTCTAGAATACTACTAAACATAATAGCAGTGTAGTAATCAGCCAATCAAAACCTCTACATGTGACTATTTCTAGCAAAACTTCTAATCAAACGCTGATTGGATAAAATGCTTCTTAATGTTTCCTGAGCTTGTAATGTCTATTGCGAGAAATTTTCAGGATCATCCCAACACTATGGAATATCAGTAAAATCAGTAGTTTTTTAATAGAAATTCTTTTTTAATATTAGACATAATATTATGGTTTGCTCTTAGTTAGACAACCATTGAAAATTAGAATGTACTGCACAGCTATTCTATTCTAGTATGTGACTCTTCAGTGGTACCCACATACACCCTATATGGAGTCAAACGCAGGACTTTTAGATCTATCCATTAGTCTTTGATTTTTAAACCACAGAGGGGCCATTCTTGGTTTTCATTTCTGATTTCAATTAACTCTAAATATTTCTCAGCCACTTTTTGCTTCGATCGGTAAGCGCCTTACACTCGATTTTATTGAATTTGACTGGTTACGCGTTTGTTGTTTAAATGTCAGTGACTCGCTATAACACCTGAAGACCGTTGCTTCGAGTCATTGGTGCGTACTACTGAGAAACTAAACATTAGAATAAAACAGCTATCCATCGCTTCTTGGTTTTCAATGGTTACCTAAATGAAGTTAGCCCATTATATAAACTGTAAAGTTCAACAATTTCTACAGACCCTTTATACGCTTATTTGATATATATTTTCATAGCACTCATTTGGCAGGTGAATCTTTTTAATGTAATAGAAAAACTGAAGTGGAACTTTAAAGCAAAATGTTATCATATTATGTTATGTAATGACTTTTGCACCGGTTAAATGTATGTGTATTTTTCGATAAATTTATTATCCTCACTATCTTTCTATAAGATCATGTTCACCAGTGCGTAGTATATTCCTGCCTTTTTTACCAGACTAACTCTACAAAAGTGAGATATTTAGTTGTGTAAGTTTTTTAATAGAAATGAAACAGAAATAGCATGGACATACACATACACACATACCATTCACCATGTTTCCCTGTGAAACAAAAGTCGACTTTTCATTGTACTATGAAGGAGATATTTAGCAACAAGAAACAAATTTTTACCCATAAATCCGATTCACCTCTGTGTGTAGTTACTTTGTGTTTGTAACACTCGTTAAATCGAATTCATTTGTGTCCAGCTGATAGTTTTCAGTGCTTTTATTCCAATTTTTTCTTAAATTCACCTTTATCTAAATCCACTAGTGACAACAGACAATAGTCAAAGGAAATAAAAGTTTTCTGGAAAGAATGACAAGCTGAATAGGAGTACATGGTTATTGCTTAAGGTAGAAGCTGAACAAGAGGAATATCAAAAGTTACTTAGATGCATTGGCTCATTTTAGCTAGAAAAATAGTTGTTTTCTCACATCTATGTTTAACACTGAGCTTCTAATGCTTATATATACACATGTTTTAAGTAAGGTGAAATGTGTGAAATGTTTAGGATTTATCTTCTGGAATGTAGATTGTTAACACGAACGTATTCTTATGATGATTCATGAGATAAGAATGACTGTCAGTGTAAAAATGGTAATATTTATCAAAATTTTCTAAAGATCACCTGACGGAAAAAATGTTAGATGAGAAATTTATCTTGAAATTCCTTATTTGGCAATGAAATCACTGAAGAGTCCCATAATAGAATGATATATCTGTCTGGTGATTCCAGCTCTCAATAAAATCTCAAATAATGTTACTCTATGACAGATATCGTCTAAAAATCCCCACAAAAGCCGCCTCCATTTAAAAAAATGACAGATTTCTTGAATTCTGTTCTTTTGTTCTTTACTCTCTCACCTAAAATAACGATTTTATTTTTCTCTGTGATTCAGTTATAAGAAAAAAACAAACGATTCAATGAATCAATTAATGGTAACTCTTTATTCGAAATGAAAAACACAAACCTACTAAACAAAATAAGAAATGTCATTTAAAAAAAATGTAAATTCAATTTAATCAATATCTGTGCTGTTTTACTTACGTTAAAGTCTCAATAAAATAATCATAGTTCCAAAAAATATAAAGGGGGAGTTCTATAACATGATAAATAACAATAACCAGTTATGATTCGGATTGGTTTATACAAACTGAAAATGATTTTACTCATGAAATAGGTATTAACAAACAGAACCATTAAATAAGCCAACACAACACTGAATATTAGATTGAGGTATATACAAATCAGAAGGGGTTTTGTGAAGATTTCAGTATTTTCATGGTTGAAATCATGAGTTATTTGAAGCTAGACCATCATGGATGCGCACTGCTGAGGAGTTCCACAATAGGAGGAAACGGCCGTCCAGCGCTTCCAGGCTTTCCATGGTGATCTAGCTTCAATTGACTCATGATTTCAACTATTTATATACAAATCTTTTAAAATTATATCACTTAGTATATATGAAGAGAATGAATTAGTATATTTCAACCTGGACGGTGCCTGTAGTGATTAGGTTATTCTTTTTATCAATATTGTTAACAATAGTTAATAACGATCAAGTCGATTTTATTGCTTGTTGTAAATGATAAATTTAATTAGACGAGCGTAGGTATTTATCATGTGTAGTTTCGTAGATTTGAATAATATCACTTTGTCTTCAACGTGCCTTTTTTTCAAATCAGGTCACCAATCCTTATGATCCAAAAAATGTGGAAACGTTGCATAAATTTCTTGAAATTTACAAAGATGAAGCTGAACGATTTGATACAGTTTTAATGGATACAACCGAAGAATTGGAACAAGTTCGCACACGAATTGAGACATTGGAAAAAGAAGTTCGTGATATAGAATTAAAGCAAGATGAACACTTAGCCAGGTATTTGTTAAGGATTCAATATTTTTTATGAGGCATGTTCTGTTGTTTTCCCAAAAATTCGTATAAAACTTCACGGCTGAACGACTAAGCTCTGTGAACACAGTGTCCTCAAAGATAAGCACTAGATCACTAACCTTCGAGTATACTGTCTGCAAATAAAATAAAATAATCATTTATTTAAAAGTAAATTATATTTGCTTATGGGAACAATTAAAGCTAAATGTCTTATTCAATCGGATTTGTCACTTAAATGTATTTGTATCTCCATCCAGCATTTCTGCTCCAACTCAAAACTAACATTGAATCATTATTAATTCGACCGATAATTTTCGACAACCGTCTCTTCTTAAAACATTACTTACTCACTCTTGTTAACCCTCGTGAAGTAACATAGTCCGCCCACCAGCACTCTCCATCAAACCGTCCTGGGCAATCCTTTCCAGTTCTTTCCAGTTCCTATTCATTCTTTTGATGTCTGCTTCCTGTTCCCGGCTCAGTATGTTCTGTGTTCTTCCTCTTTTTCGTTTCCCTTCAGGGTTCCAAGCTAAAGCATGCCTCGTGATGCAGTTTGGTGATTTCCACAGTGTTTATCCTACCCACCTCCAGAGTCTTTTCCTAATTTCCTCTTGAGCTGGAAGCTGATTTGTTCTCTACCACAGTAGGTTGTTGAAAATGCTATCCGACCAAAGGATATTGAGTATATTGAGTAGACGATTGTTTATAAATACTTGTACCTTTTTGATGATGGTTGTGGTAGTTCTCCAAGTTTCAGCTCCGTACAGTAGAATTGTATTGACGTTCTTATTGAAGATTCTGAATTCGATATTGGTTGACAGCTATATTTAGTTCCATATGTTCTTCAAGTGTAGGAATTAGCCCTTGCTTTACCAATTCTTGCATTTACGTTTGCATCGAACTCTTCTTGTTCATCGATGATACTGTCCAGGTACGTGAAAGTTTGCACCTCTTCCAGAGTTTCCCTATCAAGTGTGATTGGGTTAGTGTTCTCAATGCTGTATCTGAAGGTTTTGGTTTTTCCGTTGTGTATGTTGAGGCCTACTGATGCAGAGGCTTATGCTACACTGGTTTTCTTGATCAGTATTTGTTGGTGTGTATAGATACGTATGAGCTAGCTCATCTGCAAATTCTAAATCTTCTAGCACCATTTAAGCCGTCCATTGTATTCCATGTTTCTCCTTAGATATGGGGGACCTCATAAAGATTATCAGTAAATGAATGAGTTTGGAATGTCATACTGCCTTTTGAAAGTTTGCATAAGCAAACTAACATCATGAAATTATTTCTATATAATGTTTAACGAAAAACGTGTCAAATCACTTTCAGATATCTAATGATTCCACAAAAGACATCAGTACACTATGAAAATTATCTCCAACTCATACATCTATCTACATTGATTTCTGCGAAAACTCACACTATAGATGATGGTCCACACTCTTGTTGATTGGAAATCAATTCACAGAAAACACATATTTACGATTCTCAAAATAAACTGTTGAATATGGTTGAACTGTTCAATGACTGCAATTGGCAATTGTAAAACCCAACAGACATCGGTTACAGTCCAATGAATGATTCAAAACACAGTGGTTTTGTACAGTGAGAGATAATTGGCGAATTAAGCAGATCAGGTTAAGTGATTCGATTGATTGATGAGAATTGACCAACAAAACTGGGTGGTGATTAGGGAGTAGACAAATGTGATATTGGTTACCAGTTAATAATGGATGAATTGTAAATATCTCAGTGTCATGGGAGGTGGATGTTGTTCGACATAGCTCCAATAGAGAATGTATGTTCTTTGACTTTGAAACTAGATGACGTGGAGTCGGATGCCATAATGAAGATCAGTTACCTGAAGATTATAGTGATCTCTCAGTTATAGGTTTTCGTTGAATTGATCAATTAACTGTTCTAATTTCTTAGTGATGAGACATTTCTAAGAAATCACAATTTGTTTGTACCTAACAATATGTCACGATACATCTTTTGATTGTGATATTATTATTTAAGACACTTTTATTGTTTATGAAATGCAAATAACCATCCTAATTATTATTACAATGTGGGTTTATCGGAAGTTGTTTGTGTCTCGCCGTCAAACCTGAAGGTGTTCTTGAATTTCGGATGCATACAATTAATGAATCATATATTAGGACGAAATTACTGTTCTCGGTTTTTGATGGTTGTCTAACTTAAGTCAGTGATTAATATTTACGCTACCTTTCCAGTTACTTAGTTGATATCATATCTTTAACTGTTTCTGATTGATTCCACTCTATAAGCATTAAGTTTATCTTGATATTTGCTTACATTAGTTTCACTAATGTGAGTATTGTTTCTGGCATCCTAATTGCCTACCATACTAAATATTATAATAATTAATTCTGTGGTAGGATTAAACTATACTGCCGACCTTTGAACGAATCTTAAATGACCTTGATAAATATTAGCCAATCAGAAGACAGTTAGCATACAGTAAAAATATATTATACAAAACTCAAAAATTAAAGGGGATACTGTTCTTTTACATGAGTCAAAAACTTCTCAAGGTCAGATATAGGTTCAGAAGTTCTAAAATAATAGTGCATACGGTACAGGAACACATCCATATGGCTCCATAGTAATCGACCTCTGAAACCATGATAAGGTCTCAAAAATTCTTTTAGCCTCGACCACATAGCTTCAATAATGTTAGTATATTGGTATGGTTTACGGGTTAGGGTTAGAGTTAAGGTTTAGGCGTAGGGTTTAGGGTTATGGTTGAGACTATAAGTTATGGACAACCTTTGAGCGACGCTAGAGTGACTCTGAAAGTGTCAACATAATAATTAAGACTAAATGAGGGTTATAAATCTGTGTGAAGAATTCAAATTATGATTTACAGTTCATGATTAAGGCTAGGAATTATACTTAGGGTTTTCATCACGAACTGACATCAGCTATAATGCCAAAACTATTTATCCAAATGGATAATTGAATTTCGCGCCAAAATCTTATGATCACTTCTATTGTAGACGCTAAATTATCACGTCTTCCCTAAAATCCGCTGTAAACCGACCGTACGTAAGCATCAGGTACCGAACTTAGCGCCGTGACCTTGAAACCCCGCGAAAGCTTCTGATTGGCTCGGCAGTATAGTTTAATCCTACCAATTCTGTTTATCAGTCAGTTAGATGGTTGTGAAAAATTTCCAAGTGATATTGATTACAATTACAATGAATAACTCAGTTCATTTTGCATAATAATGAATGGATTCATTTATTATTGATTCTTAGCTATTATCAAATAGTACACACACACACAAAACAACAAGAACCTGGTTAAAATCGTCCACAATCTGTTGTATTGTAAATGCCAGACAAACTGTTTCATTTTATAAATTCGTAAAACAGTGAATAGTTACTTTGTATCAACAACATTATTTACTGGTTTTCTGTTCAATGAAAATTAAAGTTTGGTTTATATTAGTGCTGACTGAATAATTCAGTGATTGAATGGATGATACCGAACTGATTCCACATTTACATTTGTCACATTATAGCGACTTGAAGAAAATGAGTGTAATAAACAGAGAGATAGATGGTAGGATGGATAAACAGATGGATAGAGTGAGTGGTTGGTTGAGAGAGGGAGAGAGCAATAGATGAAAGTTATCAGTTGTAAGAATGCTATACGTAATGCTATACATAGTATTTATCTAATTATTCTCCTTGTTCCCTATTAACTATCTTACCTCTATTATCATTACTGACTTTTATAGGGTATAGGTCAATCATGAAACCATGTCATAATTAAACTCTTATTTAATGATTCCATTCTGGGAACTAATCTGAAAATTTTATTTTAGGTTTCACTCAGTAATTTAAGCTCTCATTATTTTAATTGAGATCATGAACCGATCAACGTTAGACAACCATTGAAAACCTGGAAGTACTGGATGGTCGTTTCGTTCTAGTATGGGACCCCTCAGCAGTGCGCATCCACGACCACTCACGTTGGACTTCAACCTAGGACCTTCGGTATTGCAAGAACGCTTAACCTCTAGACCACTGAATCGGCATCCAATGGTGTTCATGATATCAGTTAAAACTCATCAATCTCCACAATCCCATACCGATGCTTTCAATATTTGTTATATTGTTGAACAACATTAGATTAATGCTTTAACATAGTACCTAGTCCCGATTATTGATTTCTTTTTGGAATGTATTCAGATATCCGCTTAAATAGAATCATGTTAAAATAATCCAATCGCAATTGGTAGGATTCAGTTTTGCAACTTTTGAAATTCCATTAGCATTAATGCATATTCTACTAACAGTATTTTATAATTCAACAGTAATCCACTTATTAAAGATCTAAATATTTTGGAACTTGGCGAAGAATGAGATTTCGATGTGGATTTAATACTAAGAAGTTTCAACTTAATCTTAGCTGTTCATTCATCCAACTACTCATACTGTTCGGTCCAATAGTTCATTCTAAAAAGATGTTAGTTAGACTTAATATGGAAAATAACAGATATTATGATAATCAGTGTTACTACAAACAAAATATTTATAGTGAATAAAACATGTTTGTGTTTACATGCTACTGAGAAAACAGACATTTGATTAGACTCTGTATGAAGTACCGTTTGTCTAATATCCTAGTCGTAATCTGTTATTTCGTTCTAGTATATGAGACTTCTCTACAGTGCATATGTTTGATACCACCAGAGATCGAACCAAGGAATCTCAGGTCTTACAAGGAAGATCTAACCCACAGATTACTAGTTCGGCATGTCTAAATGTGTATAAATCTTGGTTAACATTTTTTCCTTAGATCGTTAGCTTTTTTAGTGCTGTTTGAGTATCAAAGTTTAAATGTTTCAGTAGACCACCTATATCCTAATTGGAAAGTGAAATGTCTATTAAGTTGTAATATTCTAATCTTTAAGGTTGATGTGTTCTAGTTAATATATTCCATACATTTAATGGAATCAAAATTAGTATGCTGCATTCAGATATATTGAAGCGTTAACTATCTGAGGAGAAATAAGAATAATAAGCCTTGGTTAAACAATCCATATCAAGTTACAATGAGGTTTAACGATTTAATTGACATCCTTGTATTCACATCCTGAATCCTTTTAAATTTAGAATTGGTAAATGGAAGGACTTATAAATGGTTTTGACCAGCAGTATTAGAGTATTATACAAAATTGATTTTAGTATTCTAGGTGAGATTACTTGGAAACGTTCTGTTCGGTTCAGTTGGATAACTAATATAATTATCAATGTTTTGTTATCATAGAACTGGTGAAAATTGCTAAGTGTTCGCCGGTGTATGAAGATTAGCCGTGTTTGCTAAAATTCTGCTTGTTTATTCCTTCTTCCCTATTAAAGTCTTGTGAGTTACGTAACTCATCAGTTCAATACATTACCAAATATGATTCACGAAGTTATTGGTTGTTTTAGTGTTTTGAACCATTAAAAAAAAGCAAGAATAGAGATGTAGGGAAGAAAAACAGAAGCCTTAAATGTTTGATTATTCAGTTACTAGTTTTAATGAGTTTATAGAAAACTGTTTCTTTCGTCTATGACACCTTTAAAATGATAACTACCACTCTGTAAGTAGGCTTCTGCTAACTTTAATATGCTATTGAGGTCACGATGGTTCATTAAACACTTGAAAGATGCGGATTACATGGTTGTAGTAGGCTTAATAGTCATGAATATTTACTGAATATTTTACCTTATATGTGTTGAAATCGGCCACAGTGGTGCGGATGTATTCATTCACTGTTATCCCACAGATAGTGAAATTCAATGTTGTTGTTTTTTATTCGATAAATTTATTCTCGAATCACATTCCTTATTTCTAATCCTCTTTACTATCACTGATACTACTAATACATGTGCTTCCCTAGTATTCATCTTTGTTTGGTGATATAGTGTAGCAACTTGAACATATGTACATGTATCCTAGGTTCTACGTTGCTTATGACTAACTAAAAAAGGCATCTGAAATGTTTTTGAAAGTCAACAAATGTAGCTAATCCCAGTTGAAAGATAATTAATTCTAATTATTTGGATACATAAAATGTAAACCTAGTATCGACCAGTTTAAACATCACTTATCATCGAGGGTCTGGAATTCCTTATTGATTAGTGGAAAATTATTCAGAGTCCAGACTGATATTTTTTCACTCAATATTCTGAGGTATAGATAAATGAGTATTTTTTTTCATATCTGGATGTCCGATATTCGGTTATTTTTTAAAATTAGTTCTTGATTTAAATAACAGTAAATTAAATATATACTTATTTTCACTTATTATTGAACAGTGAAGCTGTTGTGACGGACGGTGTTCGAAGACTGATACGTATACACTGTGTGCTACACGCTAACCCTTCAGCTGACTACCTGGATGGGTACACGAGAGTGAGCGAGAAAGTATATTCAGCTACCGAATAAAATGCACAAATGCTCACTTGTTTATATACCAGGCTAACCCTCAGGGAATCGGTTCATTTCTAGGTAAATGAAATGCACTTGTCCTCTGGGTCACTTCTGACTGCCATCGATTGACCTTCTCGTTAGTCTACTTCTGATTGGTTTGCCATGTCAGAAACTAGATATTATGTGGAATGTTGAATGTGTAAGCTAACAAATTACTGAATGTTTATTCCTGAAAACCATTTTAAAAGTGGTACATTCATTCATAAACAAAGAAATAAAATGGTAATTTAGATGACATGAAATTATCAATGTCATTTATCAATTTACGAGTACAATTACTGTTCATTAATACTAATCTCACTCGGATAAACTTAAAACATTCCGACTATCTGTATTTTTCCCTTTTAACTGTTCTCTTTTGTTAACTTCTGTCATTTACTAGTTTGATTCCATTTCAGTTGTCTGTGTATCTTTTTTTCAATTACACATTAGATACGTAGAATTGATAAATTAGAGTAGCGTACTCATAGAGGTTATTGATTATTCCTACCTTAAAATAGTACTTGAATCTGATTGGCCGATAGATAATTTGGGTAAATAACGGCAACATCACACTCAATAATTGATTTGTTTACAAAGATGAATATTCTTTTCAAAAAATATTTTCATTTTTCCTTATAAACACTCTATGTAAATACGTACCTACATATTGCCCAAAGGAATATCCGTATTTGGGAAAGAAATGAGTTAACTAGCATATCAGTAAAAATTAATTATTGAAAAGGCTTATTTAGATGAATCAATATAGGAAGGAGTAAAACGGTTGTGTTGCCTTGTTTATTCTTTAAGAGAGTAGAAATATATATATATATATATATATATATATATATATATATATATATATATATAGTTTGATTGGATGTTCCTCGTTGTGTAGTTCCGTTAATGTATGTGTGTTTAAACTTTTTACGTATTGAACGTTTGTCATCTTTTCTCCGGTAAAATAATACGTAAGTATACCTATACGATTATAAAATAATGGAGGGATAAATGTAATTGAGTAGTTGATTGTAACTATGTGTTCGTTCTATAAATGTTATCCACTCTATTTAACTGGTATTAAATACACTCACAATTGAGGAAATAGTAAAACGTCTATCAACTAATGAAATAACAAAGATCTTTTTATATTAAACAATTGTATCGTTGTAGGCACAGATGTTTAACCATTTAGAATAATACACATAATTAGATGATATTGTTTACGGTCAAATCTTCATCAGCTTTGACTTTAATTCTACAGCAATATTTATATGTCTGTAATAAAAAGAAATAGGATTGATCAAGGTAGTTTATGGGTCAGTGATAGCAATAAAATAAAGAATTACATAAATAATCTTAACAAGTAGAAAGTAAAAAATTGATATTAAAACAACAAGTATATTGGTAGTGATAGGAATATAATATATTGATATAGGTGGTAGGTTAGAGTTTTAAAAAATAAACATCAGAATATTATCAGAAGGGGTTTTGTGGAGATTTTAGTATTTTTATAGAGTTGAGATCATGAGTCAATTGAAGCTAGACTACCATGGAAAACCTGGAAGCACTGGACGGCCGTTTCGTCCTATTATGGGACTCCTCAGCAGTGCGCGTCCACGAACCCACTCTCGCGGGATTCGAACCCAGGACCTACCAGTTTCGAGCCGAAGCCCTTAACCGATAGACCACTGAGCTGGCATCCAACGGTGTTAATTTCTAACTTCAACTGATTCACGAAATTGAGCAACCATTCACCATAATAGGACGAAACGGCCGTCCAGTGCTTCCAGGTTTTCCATGGTAGTCTAGCTTCAATTGACTCATGATCTCAACTCTATCAGAATATTAGTTGAGATCATGAGTCAATTGAAGGTAGACCACCATGGAAAACCTGGAAGCACTGTTTGACGGTCTTTTCGTCCTATTGTGGGACTCCTCAGCAGTGCGCATCCACGATGACGCCTCGCGAGATTCAAACCCAGGACCTATCAGTCTCGCGCCAGAGCGCTTAACCACTTCGTGGATTGATTGAATTTAGACATTAGCACTATCGAATGCCATGACGATTAGTAAGGCTTTCTCTCAATCCCTTTTTCGATTACTTCATGATGCTGAGGCAGTCGTGGTGGTTTCTTTCTTCAATCATTGTGTTGTGTTATTCAGCGTCTGACTTTGATACTGATACTCAAGCTTTCCATACACGAGCCCCACTACCTGCTCGAGCGAGAAGGCGTAGATTAAGAAGGAAAATTTTATTGGTTAAATTAATCCGTATATGTATATATTCACTTATATGTATGCACCTGTCTCTAAGAGAAAATAAGCCATCGTCCCTTAGAAATTCCTATACTAGAAAGTTAAATTAATCAGTCAATCATCTTTTCATTTTTCATAAAAGTCTTTTTTCTTCTCTAACACTTAGTATCTCCTTGTCAATTGTTTTCTATGTCTAGTAAAACAGCGAATGAATACTTCCCAATAGATAGATATATATATATATCCGTTTATTGCATTTAATTGTTACTGTTATATTATTTACTTTTTTCTCAATTTTGTTGGTAGAGAATTAAGTGTACTTGTTGAACCAAGAGAAACAGGTCAAGTTGAAATGCTTGTTTCTTACGTGGTAAATCGTTGTGGATGGAAACCAGCTTATGATATTCGTATTTTTAACAATGATGGAACAATGAAAGTAAGTTCTTTTCATATTATTGAAAATGAGTTTAATAACTTTTTGTGACTCTTATATCTGGCTCCAGTTAAATTTTACGCTGATTGTTATCGAAATATACATGCAACCGACCCCCATATATTTATATTGACTTAATTCGCGTTAGAGAATAACAGAATAAAATAAGCCAAATATGAGAATAAATTTACAATCAGCATATTTCATGCACACATTGATTGTTACAGACAAGCAAAGAAATGCAGTGAAGGAAGCGAACAGAAAGGAAATGAAATTAGATAACGCTCAGTGGTAAAGGCAAATGTGCCAACTTGATTTGATCAAGAGTAACTCAATATTTATGGTCAGATCAAAGATAAGTTGCAGACAGGTGATAAATAGGGTGAGCAGTTAACACACATACAATCATATAAAAACAGTCAGCATTAACAAGCGGATAATCAAGGTAAAATGTGGCTTGAGAATGAACAAATTGGTCTAGCTAGTAGCTAGAATAACCTAATCGGGGTTGACATAGTATCAGCCACTACAAGCTATTAAAAAAGGAACATCTCATTCAATTAAATCTTAATTCACTAAAATTTCAAAGTTAATTTCCTGTATTTAATTTGTTTAATTGAAAATAATTCATTTCATTTCCAATTATTTTATTTTAGAAATATTTATGACTTAATGAACAATGTTAACTGTGACCGTCATCCAATTAATAATAATCATTTCAATAGTTGATATCATGAGTCATTAGTGGAATTCAACAAGGTCTGCTGTGAGATAGTAACTCACTGAAGACAATGGTGGATGTGTCGCTCAATTTCGTGGATCGGTTGAAGTTAGACGTTAACAGGATCGGATGCCGGATCAGTGGTCTAGAAGTTAAGCGTTCGCGCGCGAGGCTAATAAGTCCTGGGTTCAAATCTCGCGAGGCGGGATCGTGGATTAGTACTACTGAGGAGTCCCATAATAGAACGAAACGGCCGTCCAGTGCTTCCAGATTTTCCATGGTGGTCTGGCTTCAATTGATCCATGATCTCAACTATTGAAATTACTATAATATCCATAAAGACCCCTTCTGATATCAATAATAATCATTGTATTGTGACTGTTTCATTGATCTGATTACGCGAATTTTGTGGAAATTGGATAGGTTTTTGGGTTCTATTCGTCATAGGTTGATCCCAATTGAGTTACCGTTGCGAACCGTAGAGCACTGGATAAATTTCTTGTCTTGGCGTCGAATTTCTAAGGAGTGCTCACACTAACGAAATCTCATTGTATGTTTATTGTACAATATTACAAATCTATTGAAATCGAAATTATATCGATTGAAATTAAGTATAAACCATTGAATGAGCACTCAAGGTTCTAAAAATCAGGGCTTTACCTCCCACATATTTGTAAATCCAGATTCCGGTCACTGGCTGTGTTGTCAGTGAAGATTGCTAGAGAGCCTTAACTTTTCCATCAATCGACAATTATTTCCTTATCAATATAAGGATAGTTTCAAATATTCAGTAGTAAGCAATAAGGAAAACATGATCTGATTACATCAGTTCAATATATAACATACTGTTTACAGTTGAATAAAGAGTGATAAAGAGTAAAGAAATACATCTGACAAGGCAAATTTACTCTTGTTATTGAAAAAAACGAAAATGATCATATGACATGGTAAAAGTCCACAAACTTTATTTTTCCTAAGGGAAAAGAAAAAAATGAACGGACAGTTAGATTCCGGTGGTTTTTGTAGACTAACAATTTTTCCTATTAAAATTATTCCAATGTGTTCACTTCACCATGGCTTTTAAATTTTTATCAATGATTAATCTCGATGGAAAATGTTGACTTTTGTACCAAATAGTGTGTTTGCTTGCTTGTTCACATGTCTGTATGTGTGTGTATCTGCATTTCCTGACATAACGTATTGGACTTGTCAGTATAGCTTTGTGGAGATTGATGAGTTTTAATTGAGATCATGAACTGATAAATGTTAGACCACTACTAAAAAACTTGGAAGCACTGGACGTCCCTTTCATCCTAGAATGGGACTCTTTAGATGTATGCGCTAGACCAAAGGTCCAGAGTTGAATTCCCACGTGCGAGATCGTGGCTGCGCACTGCTGAGGAGTTCCATACTAGGATTAAACGGCCGGCCAGTGCTTCCGAGTTTTTTAGTAGTGGTCTAACATTGATCGGTTCATGATCTTAATATTGGACTTGTTATATGTCTGTTTCTCACTTGAAATTCATGAAGTCTGTTTCGAATCTAGTCACTATTTGACATTTCATTATTACTGTTATTATGTTATAGTTTCTTGTATACAGACAAAATAGTTTTTTATCTTGTCATATTTATGTGTTTGTGTCCTGAGTTGTAGAAACTAAATACAAAAAAAAGAATATTGATACTAGATATAGGAAACCGTCTTTTAAGTCAACGTATTAAATAATATAGTGAAACAGCTTTAATCTGAAACTAGAATAAGCTGGAATGTTTGACAAGATCGGTTTCTTAAAGCTACAGAGGAATTATAAATCATATGAAAACTGTCAGTTTTTCTAATCCCACTTAGATATAATTGTAATCAATCCGAAGGATAATTTCTTGACCAGATGAAATCAATAGGGAAATCACTGAATGAGGCTTTGATTTTTTTCATTTAACGCTTGAATCTCTGGTATACTGTCATTTTTGTTCAAGTTAGAGATAAACTTTACGGTTGACTTTCAGGTTACTACATCCTACTCTAGTTTTCCAACCATTAAGCATCAAATACAGAGAATTTTAATACAGACTCCATTTGTAATTTATTGATCGAAGAAATTTATTTAGTTTGAGGGATAACAATAGTTAGTTTTGGGTATTCAGTTATCATAACGCAAATTTACATCATTTATAGTTGGTGATCACATAGATTGAATATCGACTGAAAAGTGAACTACCGTATATAACATAATTGTTCGACTCCGTGATCTAGACTGAGATTAAAACCGAAATACTTCGTGCATAGTGTATTGGCCTGTGTAATTTATAACTTGCTGATAGTTAATACTGTTGGCGAGATCCAGAAGATTCCTCGAAAAAATCCAAAAGGGGCTATAAAAACGCAGAGGAACATCTTATCTAATCAGTACTCAATAGAAGCTTTGCCAGGAACATGTAGAAAGTGAAAAGTCACATGTCGCGTTTCTGATTGAATGATTACCTATACTGCTATTATGTTTACTAGTGTTCTAGAATTTTAAGGAAGCCAAAGACCATCCAAAATACCATAAATATCCTAGATTTTCTGTACAAAAACGAACCTTGGTGTAAAGCATTTCTTTCATATTTCGCGCCTTTTCTCTCGTGTTCAAGTAGCTGTGTAAATTTAACCTAGGGGTTACTAGAAGAGCTTAGGAAACCGAATAGTATTCTGTCGTTTTATGTATTTCTTCCCATGAATTATCTGTCATTATGCGCATGCTGATTGACGAATTTTTTTCGCAGTTCAGGCATTAACATAATTTTGATTACTCTGCACTAGTCACAATCAAAAGATGTATATAATTTCGAATATCTCAGTGTCGACTAATTGTAGAAGAAAAATACTTTGAATTATTTTGTTTCCTGTTGAGCATTTTCAATATTTTATAATATTGATGAAACAGCCTCAACAGATTTTATCAGTACTGTGATAATAAACTTTCAAATAATTTGAAGACCTGGAATTCGGATGTTTACTTGTGGTGCTGTTGAGTTTTGTAATCTAGATGGTTCAATTTCACAGCTTTCATTACCATACAGAATAACATTATCATTGTTCATCACTATTAAGAAATGAAGCGAGACCATCAAAACCAACTTATTTTAACAGTTAAATTCATAAGTCGATCTTAGCTAGACGGCCATTGAAAACCTGGAAGCACTGGACGGCCGTTTCGTCCTAATGTGGAACTCCTCAGTAAAGAAATAACTAGAAGGTTTACCTCTGTATGAAGTAAATATTAATAATATTGTCCTGAACAATAATGAAAACTTCTCAGTTAAACCATGTAGTTCCGATAATTCAGTAATTTAGATGATACAAAATGTCATTGTGATTTATATTAACAATTATATTTCATATATTGATGATTCGAAAAATGTATTTATTGAGTGATACAGATCTACTGATAATATTTTATTAAGCTTTAATTCATCGTTATTTTGTCACAGACTCATTCATCCATAGCTTATCATTATAGACAATATATGGAGTGTAGGGAACTGGATAAACTGTTCATAAAAGTCACATAGTATGTACTGATTGTTAAAAACTAATTCATAATGTACCGTTGAATGATATGTGATCATCTGTTGACTAACACTGTTGACTGAATTCTATGTATTTATCGACGTTAAAGAAGACAATAAAATTACTTTCAGATTAATCATTGACAAAACTTGGATTCTTATTGTATTGATTAGCATAATTATCATTGTAACTTTGATAATTATGAGAAAGACAAGAAAATAGGAACAATCAATCTTTGAAATTGTTATACTGAGTATGCTTATAAATCATTATTGGAAGACTAGATATCTTTACTGCGTTTTCTTTTTTAGCTTAACTCACCTTTTGAATAGTTTTCTGTCATAAACTAACTGACTTTTATCCCTTAGATTTCTAAAAACTAACTTTATCCCCACATCATCATTAGTAACGATTTGAGTTATCCTATTGTTAACGTTTATGATTGAATTTTGATCAGTTTTTGTTGATATATATGCTTGCTATGTAAAGTGTCTCGATATAATCACTTTCACCACACATCTTACAGAACAGATGGATTGTATTTAGTAGTGAAATCCAGAATGTGCGCTACATCCTGTTTGAGACATATCAAGAACTAGATTATCGAAATCCTTACTAATAATTATGTGAACATCATGCTTATTGAATACCTTGAGGCTTTCTAGACTCAGAAGCTTGATGTATTCATGGCTTTGGCGTCCAAATCAAAAGGCACCGGGTTGGAATCTCACTATGGATATTAAAACCGTGTAATGCAGGTACATCCAGTTGACAAATTTCAGAAAGAGAGAAACGGGAGTCATTGATAGACACATTCCAATGTTCCATTTTTATTTTCATTATTAGTTTCTAGATTTGAAATATTCTGTATGTTTGAATTTCAAAATTTACAGATTTTTATAAAAGCCTCACCTATAATTAAAGTAGAAATTAGTGATATTTGTTTACAACGATAATTCGAGTTTCCCAAATACGAGTGAATACCAGCTTAACCTTTGGGGACATTATTTTCCCATAAGCACATTTATTGTCAGAAGTGTTCCTCTGTGAGATTTCTTCACGAAAGCAATTTTGTCTTCTTATCACTTGCACACTTGCATAAAATGTTTACAACTTATTGAAGACCTAGTTACTGAGAGTTTCTAGGGCTACTACCACGTCGCTCAAATATCTTAATCCTACTCTGCCGTTCAGAGAAATAAGAGGTTATTACCTTCAAATTCATGAAATAAATATGTTAGGCTAGAAAGAGCGGTATGGGAGCTGGACTGATCGTAAACATTTATAAATCAATCTGGGTAGTAACCATTCACTCTTTATGGATTGCAGCCCATAATTTGCAATTTCACCACTGAATTCATATAATCTCCTTAAAATTTGCTGTAATATATGAACGTCGTGTTGAAAATTTGTTGAAATTCTTGTTGTCTTAACTAACTTTATAATGTAACAATCCGAGTTATTACGTATCATCACATCAGTTACACAACTGACCAGTCTAAATTTATACAGGTGTTTATATTTATCTCTAAACAAAACCAAAGACTAATTATAAACAGGATTATATGTGCAAACATGGATTCCATGGTCCAAATATACCAATAACTAAATAACAGTCCGATATTTAATTTTTTTAAAATTATTTATAATTATTACAGATAGTTTATTATGGTATGGTTCAACAAGCTACTGGTGAAGATTGGGAAACACGTTATATGACTTTATCGACTGCGCAACCCGGTATAGGTGGTACAGTTCCACATTTAGGCATACAAAGAGTACATTTTCGTAGAGAGTAAGTACAATTATTTTCCAAATATAAAAATTATTCTGGTGTACCTATAGTTTTGTGTTGAACGTCACGTCATTATTGGTGTTTCTTATTCATGTTTTCCTTTCCATGTTGCGAAAGACGCATGATTTTTTAACGTAAATATTCTAATAATTATTGACAATCTTGGAAACTTACATTGAAATTAATTATCATATTCCATGCACGCTAACATTGGCTTTATTGCATAACCTTTTTTGATGTATTACGCTTTTAACTACTTGTGAGTAGCCTGGTTTATTTTCATTAATTTTCACCCACTGCTTTCTAAAAGAAAACTATAGCGTCAGATTGTGACGAAACTAATACATTTTAAATACAATTTCATAACTGTTCAACAAAACAATCAAGGAACTAGTAGTCATCCATCCTATACTAGTTTGTTTGGTTTTTAAAATTGAAAACCTTATATTTATTTGGAAAGCTTTACCAATACTAAAACATCGGCGATTCTAGTCATAGTTCTATTTAAACTACCTTGTTTTCGCTAATGTATTAGATACTTTTGAAAACTTTAAGGAGGAATAAATTCTGTCTAAACAACAAGAGAAGCGAACTAAATACTTTATAAATAAATCGTCAATTAACATCCTCTATATCATTAACTTTATTGAAAAAGAGTATTATCCAGAAGTTACGACCTGGCATCTTGAGCAAAAACTAGTCTATGAAGAATAATAAACCCGCGAAAAATGCGGAAACTAATTAGTACGAAGACGTAGCTATTTAGATCGGTGACATGAGTTCTGGGTCCGAGTTTTTATAGCTTGGGTACCCAGAAGTTGAGATTTCTGTTAAATGTAAGTTTAATTAAAATCAGTAGGAAAGTACATCTAAGCATGTACTATTATTATGTCTAATCTCTAATACTACATAGTCTATTCATGCATGACATAAATTTTAAATCAAATATAGCTCATGTTTTGTTACACAACTCTTTTGATAATTCCATTCATTGTATATACATATATACATATAGTCATTCTCCAGCAATCCCTATATCACGCAATGCTATATCATCCACAAGTGTAACAACAGGCTACAGTTCCGGTGGAATGACATCAACAACAATACCAGCATCAACAGGACACCAAATCTCTGGTGCATCTTCTACAGGAAAAAATACTCGATCATGCACTAAACTAGGTGCATTTAAACGATCTAATCGAACACCAGGAACAAATATAAATGAAATCGATCGTGTTGGATCTATGGATAATGAGGTAAAATTATTGATGCTTTTTCCTTAGTTTGTTTTCCTATCAATAAAATACAAAGTGATTTTTGTATTATTGAAGGAAGAGAATAAATTAAGGCGACAGAGTAATTACATAATTTAGGTTCTAAACTCGTTTTAATGAAATTGTTAAATAACTTAACCGTTGTATGTATGTGTGTGTGTGTGTAAGGGAGAGTAGTCTAACAAAATTGACACTTTTTTAACATATCTAACTCAAGTCTTAATCACTGAAACTGTTTAACTAAAAAAATATACTGTAACCATGTTATTCCGCTTTACCTGATTTCTATTGACTTTTTCTTGGGGAAAATTCAATTTAATGCTTTAATTTAAATGGTGATATATGATTTGTTAATTTTGCATTACAAAGTGTGTTTGTATATGCACGTGAATTTCTGTGAGATTGCATATTGCTTCTTTCTAATCCTTTAAAAATTTAAGTCAGGAAGTAACACTTCTTTTTTTCCCAACAGAATGGGCAACAATTTTGTTTACATCTGAAGTATAACACTTTATTTCTAATAACTTACCTCCTTTTCTAACACCGTTTTGTTCCACACTTTCATCATCGTCATCATCATCATTCTTCTTCTTCTTCTTCTTGTACCTCTACATTTTCGTATTGGGGTGATGTTCATCAATGCTCATCTGTATGTCTTTTTACATCATATTAGCATATCGCCTGATTCTAGTCGTCAATTACAAAGTGTAGACAAATCTAATTTAAATGAAAAAACATCTCGACTACCATCTGCTGGTACAACTCCTACTTATTCTAAACGTATTTCTGCCAATGCAGCTGTATTTTATCAAACACCTCCATTGCAACGTTCCGATTTTACGCGTGGTTTAAATGATAATATTTCATATGAAATGACTGATCGTCTTTCTGAATATTATGACAATTCAACTGAATATTACTCTACACTTGGACGAAGTGATAGTATGGCATCAACTACGTTGCATTCATCTCTTGGTCGTCGAAATAAACTACATCCAAGATCGAAATCACGTGAAACAATACGTACTATAACTCAGGTGTGCAGATCTTGTACACTGTTACATTATATAATGTGATAATTGTGTTTTTTGATGAATGTTTGTTGGTTACTCTTTCAGATTGAGAAAAGTATAAACATGTGTAGTTTATGTAGAGTTTCATTATATACTTTGGATGATGTTATTTGTCTAGTTGTAGCTCATTAATTGGGTCAGAATGTGCGCTCATAAACTATTTTAAAGTTTCGAACATGAAATTCAAATAATACCAAACTATAAATGGAAATGATGATAATATAACTCATTTGTCAAGTACAAAACAATTTTATATACTTCCATTTGAATTTAACTTTTTATGTTTCACAGTTAACTAATATTATTTATCTGTCTAAATTGGATTAGGATAAAGCCAAGTCCAGACTGACAACTTGATTGATTATAGGTTGAATATTTCAATTATTATGTTTTCATTTTTCTAAAATGCTATTTTTTTTATAAAAAAAACCTATAAGATGTAAGATTATGTAAAAGGGATAAAACGTTTTTCCACGACTCCTGATGACCCAATGGAAATGACTTACCTTAAAGTAATCATTGAAATTCAATCATTCATTTTTCAATTTCATTATGGGGATTTGTGGAGATAGTAGTATTGTCAAAGTTGAATTCACGAGTCGATCTAAGCTAGACGACCAGTGAAAACCTGAAAGCACTGGAAGGCCGTTTCGTCCTAGTATGCGACTCCTTGGCAGTGCGCATCTATGATTGACTCGTGACTCCGACTGTGAAAATTTTACAAGCCCCCGTAATACCCATACCGATATTAATCATGTGTTCATTAGTGACAAGCTTCAAGTTAGATATCCTGGAGTTCTAGTGTGAATCTATGACCATTGAAGTTCAATCTGTGTGGAATAAGTGACAGTTATCCACCGAAGACAATGAAAGATGGTCGTACAACATCGTGGATTGATTAGATTCAAACATTAACACCGTTGAATGTCAGCTCATTGGTCTAGAGGCCAAGCGTTTGTGCCTGAGACATAAGGTTCTGGGATGGAATCCCACTTGCGGGAGCGTGGATGATTACTGCTGAGGAATCCCATATTAGGACGCAAAGTTTGTCCAATGCTTCGAGGTTTTCAATGGTCGTCGACCTTAGATTGACTCGTGACTTTCACTTTCTATTCATCTAAAAAACATTCCGAATTGAAGTTATTTTAATCTTTAGTAATGAATAGTAAAATCGATTTATTACATATTAATATTTATTTATAGATTGACTATGTCCTCTAAACAGTGTATGATGTTTTTGATAGAGTTTTGTTCTCTGAGGTGGATGGTTTAGTCGTGGAGCTTTTATCGTTATTCTGGACGACATTAGCACAAATTTCAGGTAGAAGTGAAGTGTTCGAATTTCCCCACATATGGCTCACAGCTTGTCCTGTAGACCTCGATATTGATTGGTTCTTGTTGACCCTAAACCTATCATTGTTTGCTTTTTATTTTGGTTGTATCTCCAGCTAAGAGAACAAAACTCCATCAAACTCATCCACCTGAGCTACAAATCTCCATCATCTCAATGTATGATGTATATATCTGATTAAGTAAGGTTTAATATTGTTATATTTAAACTCTGTTCAATGATGTGCCTTTTTTCTGCTGCCAAATCTATTCAAATGATGAATTATTTGAGAAGCTAAAATTTATATTCAATACATAAAGTTTCTTTTCATATTAATATTCTGGTTATGAATGCTAAAATAAGGCCAGTTTACTGTTTGGTAACCAATTTCATGTGTTTCGTTCTTTAGTGCTAATCAAATTCTATTGTACAAATTGCAATATAACCACTAGTCTAAGTGATTCGATATCTTGTTCACTATATTTCAATAATAGATGATTAAAATTAATTTACAGAAAACCCTGGGCCTCTATTTCATGCTAGTTGTCACTCCTCAGCAAGTCTTGTTTAGTCTTAACAGAACCTGAGTAACTGGCATATGATGTGATTAAATACAGTAAGGGGGTGTAGATCTAATTCACTAACGATCCGTTATCATCTAAATAATGTTATCTCATAAAAATTACTGCTTCTGTTCAAATGATTGAGAACATAGAAATAGTTAGGAGAATTAAGTGAAATGGTACCAGAAATAATTAACTAATGAAAAGTTCAAGAGAATATCAGAAATAGTTCTACAACATGCGGTGACTGTCAAATATAATCGAATCAAAAATGAAAATAGTGATGACATTCAGTTTAAATCAAGATTAAAAGAAAAATGAGACAAATTTCTTCCATACGTAGAGCTCATGCAAATTGCATAATATGGATGACGGAATGCTTGTGTTATTTGAAGGAATTCCAAATAAAGAAGTTTCAATAAATATGATAGAGAATAAAAATGCGGTATATATATAATATCTATCAGGCAAATGAGTTAGCAAAGTAATTCTTAATAAGCATTCAATGGTTAAATTGCATAATTATTTTTCTTAATTATATTTATTAAAAGGTTGATTTGACTTAAGTATACCCTTCATTAGAATATATATTATTATGTCACTTTTTGCGAGGCTTTATGTTAAAGCGTAATTGGTCTAACAGCTTTAATAAAATATGAAAATCATACACTAAATACTTTATTTGGACATCTTTCATCAGTTGTCTTTTACATGCTTCATGATTCTTTCAATTCTGTTGTTATTACAATTGCTCTCTGTTTCCCTTTCTGTTCTCTTCAATTCAATCTTATCTATCTTCTGCTAGCAAAAGTTCCACCTTGAGATTGGTGCTACATACTACTTATATCTGACAACATAAGTAGCATACACCACAATATTGCTTATTTATAATATATGTTTTAATTAGTTAGCTGATCGTAATAAAGGAAATAATGTTTTCATTCTCTTATAGCTTTTAATTAATACTACGACTCATACAAAGTCCATGATTATAACTTCATGAAGTAATGTATTTTTATACATGCCTAATCATTTGATGAGAGGAATAAAAATACTGTAATTAAGGTTATTAGCTGATCAGAAAAAATGCTTTGTCGATTACATAGCTTTGAGTAATATCCGTTGAAAAGGATAACTAGTGATAATCCCAAAGTAGATTAACCAAAATGATTAAAGTGAATTTCAAACTTATCACTCAATTAATGTCTGGAAACTGAATACTTATAAACAAAGATTGATAGTGACTAGCAGTGGAATCCAGAACGCGTGTTTTGTTCTATTTGGTACACGTCAGCTAGATATACCTGCATCTCACTATCCATCTTTGCTTATAATGCTTGTGAATTAAGGTTATATCGAGGCAATACGCGCAGGATGCACATATGCCGATAAGAGGCTGATCAAATGCAATCCTAAACGTCATTGGGAAGACTCAAGTAAACAATACCAAGTGAATTTGAATACTTGATTCATTAAACAGATTCTCAATTCATTGTAACATACTATTCATTAACACTAATGAACCTGCAATAAATACTATGATGTTAACGAATCTGTGAATAGTTGAATTGAAACTTGAAAGTTTTATTACTTCTTCATTTCAATAATTTTGTGACTACTCCACTATTATTGGTTTATTGTCTGTTTGATCAACGAATGTAAACTGAAGTTAGAAATGAAAACAGTTATGTACTAACTCAGAAGTCTAAAGGTTAAGTCCTAACCGCGTAATCTGAATGTTCTAGTTACAATTCCTAGCTGCTTTCGTATATGTATATTACTTGAGTATTGTTCAGTACCTCCTAGTTTCTAATAATTATCCAACTTAGATCATTCCTTGATGTGAACTATACAATTCGATAGTGTTAATAAACTCCTCCTATATAAATGTTTAACATTTTATCGCACTCCTATTAATTACCGAAATACATTTTTTGGACATTCAGTAATAACTATGTTTATGTAGTTTTCTATCAGACTGAAAACTAGGTTAATTGTTTGAAATGATTTTTAATCAATCATAATGAGAAGAAACAATTGAATCCAATAGACGAATTATTATGAAGTAGATAGATGTATTGCATTGGTCCACCTTGATATTGATCTCTAAGAAAACGCTATGTACACCAGGTCTTAAATATTCACTTAAATAATTACTTACACTTCGCACAGTATCTAAATGGGAACTCATTGAAAAATCAACAACAACAATTTCATGCGGTAGTGATATATGAGCCCTAATTATGAAAATCCCGATCTTTGTAAACATTTGCACGACGTATGAATATTGACCATTTTAGAAAACAGTAGTGAAATGATTTAGTTAAACGTTTGCTTTGAATATAAGAGAAATGAACGAATTTTTACTGAATAGTTTTTTCAATAGTATCCATATTAGAAAGACTATTTCTGTACCATTTTTATTGTAAGATAAAATCAGCTTTTGTATTAGTCCTCAACGATTAAGACAGCAAATAAAAGTAACGTTGACAAAACTCATAGGAGGAAAAACTAGTCATCATTAAGTTTTACATCTTGTGTAGTAAAACAACCGGTTAATACAAGCTGATTTTAGTAATCACATATTATAACCGTCGTTTGCAATTGAATAAAATGAATTTTATGAATACTTAACATTTAAAACTGTTATCTCTGAATAAACAACTTGACTCGCAAACTGAGTTTTATATCATTATACTAAGTTAAAGTAATAAGTAATTGGATAGAAACTAATCTCTTTGTTAGTAATGTTTATATTTCTCACTTTGTTTTCAGCGTGATGGTATCACACCATCTGGAACACTGCAACGCGGTGGTAGTATTGAAAGTACTTATGCAACTGGATTACGTCCCTCTAGCACTAGACCTATCAGTAGACGTACATTAGGATCAAGTATGCTGTTCAATTCCGTCACTTCTCAGAATCCTTTGTTAACAAATCGAATTTCTAATTTAATGAATTCACAGCCTGCACTATTGCCTACACCACAACAACCTGCACCGTCTGTTGGAACAGTTGCAACGATACAGCTGGAGGTCCCAAGACCCCCTGCAATAATTCGGTGTGATAACGAACCCAATCGTGTCACGGTCGGGTTGTTAGATTTACAACCACGTTATGAATACGTAACTGTGCCAAAGCGTTCTTTGTATGCTTATTTGAAAGCGACAGCCGTGAACAATACGGAATTTTCTATCTTGGCTGGTCCAACTAACATATATGCGGATAATACTTTTATTGGCAAAGTAAGTAATTTGTTACCATCTTTGTATCGGTATTATCAATTATATTCCTAATATCATATATTTTATTGTGAAGACCTAATACCATAGGTCATCATGGGATGGTGGAGAATATCTATAATTCAAGATGAGGATTTTGAAAGTGTATTTTTCTCTGAGCTGGATGATTTAGTCATGTATAATTCATTGTCTCTCTCAACAACATCATCAGTAAACACCAATAGAAAGTGAGTTTTTAGAAGGTGATAAAAATAAACACATAAACAACGGTCAAAAATATATGGACAACAAGTAACCAAATTCTAAGTCAACAGAATAAACAGCTATTCAATTGTGGCGAAATTCTAAAAACTCACTTTGTATTGATGTTTACTGATGATGTTGTTGAGAGAGACAATGAATTATACATGACTAAATCATCCAGCTCAGAGAAAAATACACCTTCAAAATAGACCGATCTTTCATTTATTCCCTTGAGTCATGACTTCATGCCATTACAACTGTTCACAGATAAATACTATCTACAAGCGGATAGCATTCTTAGTCACTTAAGATTTAAACAAAAATCACTGGAATATGCTATCGTGGGTTTGCAGGAAACTAGTAATTAGCGCTGTCACTGAATAGAAGCCACCTTGCCAGTTATCAAACCTGTTTGAAATTATTTGTAGGGTAGTCATGAATAAAAGCACCTTACTCTTGTGCAATTATCAATGCGGTATATATGGAAATTCCGCTCGCTAATCAGAGATCACCCCCACCTAGTTGTGGCAGCAGACATTATGATCAAAATGTCAAACCATAATTGGTTACTTTTAGTTCTTACATTATTTACTTGTTCAAACCTGTTAACCCCGGTGGAGCATGGGCTGGCAACCCGGATTTTCTAATCGACTTTGTCCTCCATTCTCCTTTTCAGTTTTTGTCAAATGCTATTCATTCTTCTGATGCCTGCTTCCGATTCCTGCCATAACTTTCCCTGGTACTGATAGTAGTGTGATGTCTCTTTAGTTTTCACACTTGCCAAGACCTCCTTTCTTTGGTACCCTTCCCATTCTGTTGAAACATGTTCTTGTTCCTGAATATTTCTGAAGAAAGCATAGAGCATCATTGCAGTTACCTGTATGTCTGATTAAACTGCTTCAGCCGATATGTTATCTAGTCCTGCTGATTTTCCTCTCTTGATTTGTCTGATGGATATGCTTATTTCTTCGATTGTTGGTTGGATAACATCCACAGTAAGGTTTGTGTGTCCATAACATGGACAGTTGATCGTGGATCCATGAGATTCCTATCTTATAACAGCTTGTCGTGCGTCTTTGGAGGGTTTCAGTGCAACTTCTTGTGTGTGCGAAGCCTCATCCTCTTCATGACCAGAGTATGAAGGCACCTCTCTCAGAGCTAACCTTTGCCGTCCATCTCCCATCCAATGGCCTTCAGTTATTTCAAGTACCGATAGTTTGCGTTTTTTTCATTTCTTCAATTATTTGATCAGTCGTCCTGGTCTCCTATATTGTCTGGACATTTCGCGTACCTATATTAATTGTTGTTCTGGTTGTTAGAAGGAGAATAGGCATCGTGGTTTCCATAGAATCTCGGTTTTCACTATTAGGTGTTATAACTCTGCTACATGAAGACTCTTCAACTCCATGAACAGAGTTTAAATGGTTTAAATGACTATTTTCTAGCTAGTATTTCTTTTAGCAAAATTTGTTTCTACTGGATTAAGTTGCTAACCCGAAGTCCAATTCTCCTCCTTTATCCGGCTCTGGGATCGACCATAAGCCTAGAAGGGCAGCATGTACAGTTGGTTTTTACATAATAAAGCCATATTATTTTAATAAGTTTCATTTGCACCGTATTGGGTTTAAATGATTTCTACAAACAAATGTGACATTCTTAAATATTTTCTTAGTCTGAAATACGTGCTGTCGCTCCAGGAGAAGAGTTTAATTGTCATTTAGGAGCTGAGAATGGTATAAAAATACTGTATCGCCCATTATTCAAATATCGTGAAGGTACCGGTTCGAGTGGGAAAAATGCTACAATGACATTTAAACAATTAATTGAAGTACGTAATACATTTGATCGTCGTGTACGTCTAATGGTTGTTGATCAAGTTCCGGTCAGTGCAGAGGATAAAATTAAAGTAAGACTTTCAGTTTTAACTGCTTTGACTTTTGAAATTCTTCCTGTCTTTGATGCCTGTCTTTTTCTTCAAATTTCTTCAAAAGAATTCACTTCATTTCCCTACTTCCTATCAAATATCAACCACTTAACTGATTTTATTAAAACCACTGGCAAAAATACTCGTAGTTGGGTCATGTAAGATATTGGCCTTAACAATCGTAATATGTTCGGTACTTGAATACTCGAACCTTACTTTCTAACCGCTTCCTAGTTCCACCCAAAAAATCTCCTGTACCTGAGCTCCGAACTTAAGATAAGAGACTAGAATTATAAGTCGAAGCTCTGTATATTTACAGCTATGAAAATGACTTCTTCTCAAACTATTACACATCGTTTTTAGGACACTACTATGATCATTTGTAATTCGAAATGATATAGAATAGCTTTCCCTTGATCAGCTATGATAGAACATCTAACTATGATGACCATAAATAACCAGTATTCTAAAAAATTATCGTTTTGTATAACTTGTTGTAAGCCAGCTTGTGAGTTAATACTGGTCTCATTTTAAATGTTCAGTTTGTTATATAAAAGACTTTCAGGCTTTTTCTCGTGTTATATTATCTACAACTATTTGACTATGCACTATAATCTGAACGCCTAAAGTATATTTCTATTTTCACTGGAACTCAAACCCTACAATTTTAAGTTAAGGACCCAAAATTCCAATTCACTTATCTAGCTAATATGTTTTGATTCTCATTCTAGTTCTAGAGTTGTAGATATGATAAAATCGAAATTTTCATAGTTCAATTCATCAATTGATCTAAGCTAGACCATCATTGAAAAACTGAAAGCATTGGACGGCTATTTCCTCCGAGTGTAGGACTCCTCCAGTGCTTTCAGATTTTCAATGGTGGCACAACGTTCATCGGTTCATGATTTAAATGAAATAATACCACGATTAAAGATGTCTCAATGTAGAAAATTATCTTTTCCAATATATTATTTTACATGGTAGTTTAATATCAAATAGAGGAGTTATGTTTCATTGAAAAAAAGTTATCAAAGGCAGCTGAACTTTTTCTGGAGCAGAAGATGATAATCTAACAAAAAATAAACAGGTATTACATCATTTCTAATAAAGTAATCAAAAAGTGTCAGAAGGGGGTTTTGTGAAAATTTTAGTAGATCTATGTAGTTGAGACCATGAGTCAATTGAAACTAGACCACCATAGAAAATCTGTAAGCACTGGACCGTTAGGTCCTGGGTTCGAATCTCCCGAGGCGGGATCATGGATGCGCACTGCTGGGGAGTCCCACAATAGGACGAAACATCCATCCAGTGCTTGCAGGTTTTCCATGGTGATCTAGCTTCAACTGACCCATAATCTCAACTAGATAATCAAAAAGTATGGATAGTTTTCAAATTATGTAATAATCTTACAAGTAATAAATAATGATAATTGAAGAATGATTCTCGTAGCAGTAACTGATTAGGGTCGACTATATATTCGGGAATTCCATGTCGACGGCATGCATTTCTTTTTTGTAATAAAATATTATTGAATAAATAAATCAATAAAGAAGATTGTTTTTAAAATGTCGATTATTTTCCATTTTAATTGTACATTAAATAGGTTAACCTTTTAGAGCCGACAATTAAACATCCAGAAAAATATGATAAAAATAGACCAATCAGAATGAATAAATTCAATAATGTTGAATGGGACTTGGATCTAGGTCCAGGTGAGTTAAATGTTTAAATAATTGTTATATCTTGTGACCGAGTGGATGGGTAGTTGATGTGTGGCTCGATAGAACCGCCAAACAGGGCGCAGCGAATTATCGGTTGAACAGTGACACGAAACCCGAACGAGCAGACTAGAGTGCTAACCGATCCTGCGATCTGCCTAACCCAGCCAGTTGAGTCCAAAACACCAATAACAGCCTCAGTGGTATGAATCATTATTTACAAACATACTGGGTTTTTATACAACCAAAGTAATCCATAACTGAGTATAACTCAAGAATCGTATGATAATAAATCAAAGATCAAAATAAAGCTCATGATAAGAGAAACACGAATATGAATAGTTTAGTTACGTAGCAATTGTACAATAGGAAATAACATGCGAATTATGTGAAGAGTCTAAAAACATACTACTTTACATTCGAGATAATTTTTTTGGATATTCCTGTGAATATCCTAACAATAATGTCATTATTAAGTTGGGAATTTCTAACAAATTCAGATTAAAGGATTTTTTCAATTGATCTCTAGTTTACAATACATACTTTACTTCATGTTAACACACTTGAATTCTAATCCTTTAATCAAAGGGTTAGTTTACTAATCGATAAATCATTACAAGTCACATAGTCGCACAATACAATGTGGCTTTCAGAAATTGTGAGTAAATAAGGTCAACCGGTGATTTAAACATATGCTGTAACGTAGAGATTTATGAACCAGTTTACAATTGATTGACCACTAAATAATAACCAAGGTCATTTTTTGTAGTCTTTTGGCATTGATTAAATTCTATTGATCAAGTTCCAATTAGGCCACTGTTCTAAGTGACTCGAAGTTGTGTACACTATATTTTAATGCTATGCATTTGGATACAGTTGGTTAGAAGCTGAATGAAGTAGATTTTCAACTGTTGTCTCTTTCTGTAATACTATCCTGAATGAAACGTTATAAATATTAACTTATCCATTATAAAACTAATCAACTATTTATTTTGATAATTCATGTCAATTATAAATCAACAGTAGAGAAACATCGAAACTATCTTCAAGTATGTTTCATACGCATATATTCAAATGCGGATATCGGAAATGCATACATTATAGTGATATAAGTGTGAGCATAGATGAGCGGGTGCTAGTCTGCTTTACATGTAATTATAGAAAGAGCAGACAAGTCCATACATCTCACAAATACATATACGCATAGAAGTTTCCGCTCGCACGTATACGACACATGCACATATAAAATGCATATGCCTAGACCCATACACTCCACAACATACATATAGGCATAGACGCGAACAGCCGTTTCGTCCCATTGTGGGACTCCTCAGCAGTGCTCATCCACGATCCCGCTGAGGAGTCCCATAATAGGACGAAACGGCTGTCTAGTGCTTGTAGGTTTTCCATGGTGGTCTAGCTTCAATTGACTCATGATCTCAACTCTAAAATCTCCACAAAACCCCTTCTGAAAATAAACATATGCTTTAACAGAACTAACTCTGAATACTTAATTGAGATTTTTAAAATACTTTACTTTTACATTTACTTTTCTCTATGCCTAGGTGAAATTCGTGAATTAACACTAAAATATTCAGTGGAACATCCAATCAATGAAGATTTAGACGTTTCTGTTTCTGAAAATTAAGAAAAAAACAAATGAAAAAAGGCTACAAACTGGAGCATATTTTCATTGTTACAAAATACATTTTGGTTTTCATTTTAGAAGGGGGAAAAGGAATCTGGGGATTTATTAAACGTATTTCTTTCTGATTTTTCCCATTTTATTATTATTTTCATTGATTATTGGTTATTAAAATGATAATAGTAATCATAATAGTAACTGTTATTATTATTATTAACACTATTAGCATTATTATTGCTTAACAGTTTATTTCAATTTCTTTTCGGTGCTTTTTCGCATTATTTCTATTGAAATAGCTTATGCTTCAATAAGGAATCCAGTTTGATTAATACTCTTTATTTCAAATACCTAATTTTACATAATACTAAAGATTTTTTTGTTTTTTCTAATGCCCGAATGGTACCAGCGCACATATACTCACATTATTTAAAACAAACTGGAATGGAACTAGTCTATAATTGCACAACAACAATCACAATAATAATAATAATAATAATAAAATTAACTAAATGGTATATTATTGATTTTTAAAAATGATCATCGGTGTAATCATTTGATAAACTCATTCAATGTTCCAACATGGTTGTTCAACTTTTTGAATGTTCAATTTTGTCCTGTTGTTTTATGCATAGTACTAACTTATTTAATTTTTATTTTATATTCTTATATATAAAAATTAAATTAAAAACTTTATCGCTTGTCATTTGTATTGCTTTATAGGGTGGTTTTTATTGTTGTTATTATTATTAATGACATTATTACTATTTACTATTCTCTTCCCTATAATTGTTGTGGTACTGTTTGTATTCAATGGATTCATTAATCTATAATCTTTCATGTAATGTTATGTTATCACAGCTAATTGAAACAATCTTTCTATTCCCTACACTGTACACTAAAGGTAAGTTTGTCAACAAAGTCACACAAATACAGCAGATATATAAATCCAAGCGATCTATTATCAACAAATAATAAATTACAGCTTTATATGCTGACCATTTACTTAATGGGACTACTGTATTTGTCATCTATTTCATTCATTGAGTTTGAGTTTATGAGGTTGTGTGTGTGTATGTGTGTCAGTAAATAAAGACATTGGAATAAGGATTGAAGCTCTATCAATGTTGTCAGTGTCTTGGTTTATGCTAATTATCCATTCGTCTTTAAGTCGTTTTTTTTTTCAAGGTTACGGACGTATTTTACTATTCTGACCATTATGAATATTATTACTGTTATTATTATTATTAATGGTATTAAAATATTTAATGATATTGTTATTATGAACTGCTTTGAAAACACCCAATAAACTAATCAATTTGCCTGACAACTTTCATTCTATTGTTGATTTCTTTGAAAGGTTAAACAATCCAATTAGAAGACGAGTTTATCAGAACTATGTAACGAATCTAATAGCGCGATACATTTCGAACAGCAATCTTTTCATGCATAAACTTGTCCATAAAACATTGTTGAAAAGTACAAAACGTTAGACTAGACAAATTGAGAAATAAGTAAAGACAAAGAAAATGAATAAAAGCAATATAAAGCACATCACTCTTGATAATAAATTATTATTAGCAGAGCATGTTCGATGTTAGTATAAATAGTTTTGAGCATTCATGGAGCTGTATGGCAGGCTTCAACAAACCTCAGTATTCGTTCTGAACAATTGTTATATACCACCCTCAAAACTGAGTTAACATCATTCATATAATCAGTTTCAAATATGTTTGGAAATGCACTAAGGTGGGTATTTTACATCTGTTTGTAGATCATTTACATTATTCGTACTGAAAGCCATTTTGATACACGTTCAGCCACCTAAAGTTGTAAATCAAGATTTCTTCTACATATACCTGATTCCTTGAGTTTTGATCTTAAAATATTTCTGGTTTTAGGAACTTCATCTATTTTGAAAGATTGTCAAATTCTCACCATATGTAAACACCAAGCCCTTTATATTTTTCAAAGTTAAACCAAGGTTGAAGTCAGACAAGGACAACAATGGCCTTCTAGTTATAATTTAAACACAAGATCTGCTGAACATGTACGTTAGTTTCATTAACCAAGTAGTTTTCAGACTGTCCTTTAGGATAAACATTCATATACTACTTACCATACTTGCAGTAGCTATTTAAATGAACATTCGCAATGTTTTAGGTTATAATTGCGAATCACGTCAAAATACCGTATCTTTACATTTTTCATGAATATTATTAATATTAGGCTATAAGGTATACAGAAAGATAAATTACAATGATAACGATTAATCCAATGACAGACAAACTGGTAATACTGAGGCTAAATCATTTCACACAGGATTCAGATGTTTCATACTTAACAATTGATCCTGGGTGTCCATACAATACTAAACTTCACTGTAGTTACTCAACATTATTTCATCATTCTTTAATGACCAAGTTTTCAAAATGTATATAAGGTTAACATACACATAAACAAACCAAATGGATTTAGCTTTAACTAATCATTCACCCAGTAATATACTTATCGCTCCAATACTTCAAGCATTTCTACAAATGAATAGATTTTATACATTCGAACTTGTTCTATCAACACAAAATATGGAACAACAGTTAATGGAGTCATTGTGGTCGATGGAAGGTGATTCTAGCATCTTTCAACTGAAGATTATTCATAACCAACTACAATAAACACCACAAATTTTTCTTACCCCTTTTGTACGCAATAAAGATTAACTTAACACTAGTTCTATTCCTGGTATAGTTGTTGATATGCTATTCTGAGAATTTAAAAACTGTAGCAAAATATTTGACCACTATTTCATGTTTTCTAGCTGATTTCAATCCCTTACGAATTAATCTCTACAAATAACCTAAAATATGAGAAATAACGTAGAATATTACTTCACTTCCCCTAATATAAAGTATGTTTTTTTCGTTCCTAGACGAGTTAGAAAAAACATTTCAGCAACATACCATGACAGACTTAGATGCATTTCTGCTTTAATCCTATGTAAATGTTACTAGCTATTCATTCGTTATTTTTCTAAAGCTTATTTTGTGATGTCGTTAATCAAAGTACTAATCATAGTATCCGTCTAAACATATAAATCCGGTTTAAGCCTACTATTGGTTATGGCTTTAGGAAATCCCAATAATTTTGAGGTTGTTCGTTTATTGATAATTATGAACTATTGATGCTTTCTTCATTATTAGTTAGACGATGTTTGATAGTTATAATAAAAGTGATGAGAACATTTCGAAACTATTTTAAATCATCAACAGGCAAACGACTTCAAACCTTTTGTGCTTTATCGATACCATAGCGATTATAAAGCTATCAGAATGGGGGTTTGTGATTGTAGTAATTTTGATATTTGAATTTATGACTCAATCTAAGCTAGAGCACCATCGGAAAACTAGAAGCAATGGGAGGCCGTAAACCCTTATTACGGGATTCCTCAGAAGTGCGTATCCACGATCCCTCACGCCGAACTCCAATCCAGAACATTCGGTCTCATGTGCAAAAGCTTAACGCGAAGACCACTGAGCCAACATTCAACCGTGGTAATGTCTAACTTTAATCGATCCATCATCTTGTGCAACCATTCATCCATTGTCTGAAATGGATAAAAATCTCCACTCGACACAGATTGGGCTCCACTAGTCACGTCTTCTCACTAGAACTCTAAGGAATCCTTCTTGAAGCTAGTCATTAGTGAGCATATGATGATTGTTATCAGAATGAGGATTTGTGGAGATTTTAGTAATTTTAATAGTTGCAAACTGCTGACGAGTTCTATACTGGAACGAAACGTCCGTCAGTGCTTCCAGTTTTTTAGTGGTAGTCTGGCTTATATAGACTCATGAATTCAACTATCAAAATTATTACAATGTCCACAAATCCCCATTCTGATTAGAAAGGTAACTCACGAAGTTGTAGTGGTATGTTGTGACCAATGGAGAACAACCACTTTGGGTGTGAAATGTTTACTCACAACCAGCTATGAATGATAGTTGCGAATAATGGTGAATCGAGTGAAACTAGGAATGTAAATGATCGGGTGCAATCTCACTGGTCTGATTGCTCAACTCTCATCACGTCATCTGAAGATCATATGGGAGGATCGTGAATAGATACTATTAAAAAGTCCTATATTAGGATAAAACAACTGTTTAGTTTTCGATGAATTAAGTGGTATGCACTGACTGAGACACAAAACAAGAAGGATTGGTTCAGTGAAGAGTTTTTTCTGTGGATTTATTCTCGAAGTTATCCGATCACAAAACACATACCTTTTTACGGATATAAACAATAATATTTTCAGTACTACGGAAGATCTGTGAAGGTTACAAAATTTCTGCAGTGTAAATCACGAACTGTTCTTAGCTGGACTGTGAATGAAAACCGTGAATTGATTGAGGTTAGATATTAACATTGTCAAATATCGGATCATTAATCTAGAGGCTTAGTTTACTTGGGCGAGACCGATGATGTTAGGTTCGGTTCATACGCTTGGGGCCGTTCGGGTGCACTGCCGAGGGGTCCCACATTAAGATGAATCGGTCATCTGGTACTCCCGAATTTTCTTTGGTAATATAGTTAAGATCAGCTCAATATTTAAACTGCGTAAATAATATTTTTATTAAAAACAAGGTCTGTCAAGTATATTATACATGTTAGGAGAATAATTATGAAAAGATTTGCACAATATGATATGAAATGTTGGAATTAGAAGGAATTGTAATGAGATCGGAAAAGAAAATGAAATAAGTTGATCAATCAATCGAGAGATTAATATAGGAGAGTGCTAGGTAATAGCTTTGTAAAACTAGAGGTCATGGGCATGACAAAAAAGAGGCTGAATAAGCCTCGTTTTCATGTATATTTTAAAATTTTTCCAGTCTAAAGCTAAGGCCTCGGCAATACTAAGAAGATAGAAGGCCTTTGTTGATATAACGGATATTTTTAAATATTTTCTCTCACGTACACTACGATAATACGTTGATATGATGAGACTA